CATCATATTTTGTCTAATGTATAAAAATTAGTCCAGCAGAATGTTTGGTCCAATGTGTAAATATAAGTCTAGAAGCAGGTTTGGTCCCAATGTGTAGTCATGAGTCCAGCAACACGTTTGGTCTAATGTGTAGTCGTGAGTCCAGCAGCACGTTTTGTCCGATGTGTAATCATGAGTCCAGCAACACGTTTTGCCCAATGTGTAATCATGAGTCCAGCAGCACGTTTTGTCTAATGTGTAATCATGAGTCCAGCAACAGGTTTTGTCCAATGTGTAATCATGAGTCCAGCAGCACGTTTTGTCTAATGTGTAATCATGAGTCCAGCAACAGGTTTTGTCCAATGTGTAAACTTAAGTTAAGCAGTACGTTTGGTACAATGTGTAGACTTCTTGGAGCAAATGAAGCTGGCATCGACTTCACACAGGTGTAGACGTAAATAAGCGCGGTAAACACTTGGTTCAGTCGGCAACAAGACTTCATTAGCTGGTGACCTAAGCAGTGGGATTCTGGTTTAAATGCCTATGGCGACTTCTTCTGAACAATCTAAAGTGCATAATTCATTCGAAATTATAGCATTGTTCGATTCTGTCTCACCATTTTATGTTTCTTTTGTGCTTTTGCAAGAAATCCAATGGAAAGAAAGAGATGGAGAAACAGAGGAAACAGTAATAATTGCATATAATTAACACGATATTCTGTGTCCAATAAATGGAACAATAATACATATGTATTTCAGAATGCGGGCGTACATTGCAGAAGTCAGCAGGCACATTTTATCACAAGTCGAAACCGGGTGAACCAGACTCTTGTGTGTGGCGTTTATCTGCTAATCAAAGGGAGACAATTGCCCTCAATATTACCCACCTCTACATAACCATGTCTCCCAACTGTACGGGAGACTATCTGGAAGTTAGAGATGGACATTATTTCAAGTCGCCACTTCTGGGTTAGCTGAAATTTTTAAATATTTTTTAGAACTGTTTTTCATGAATCATATGGTATTTACATATGTTTCCTACTTTTTCTGTAGTCGCCCTTACAAGAGCTGTTGACATATGGTGTTGTAGTTTACAAACAAGCAGCGATATTTGGCGTTTCGGCTTAAAGTATTCGATTTCTTTAAACCTCTGACTAGTTCCATTTTACAACATATTTCGTATTAGGCAGGGAGTCTTCCCCCCCCCCCTTTTTCCAATTGGGTACGAAACTAAAACAGGAATCCGTTTCCAATTGGATTCAGATGAGGTATGAATCGTGAACGCACGAAAAGGCGACCACCAGTTAAAGACTGTAGCTGATAGCAAAAAATACAGTTAGAGATTTCATACATGATTATAATCACAGCTGTTGACGCTGCGACCAAAACAGAATTAGTCTAGAGACAAAAACAAACACGTGACAGCCAACCGTGGACAAACAATGGTTTTGGGTTCGAGTCTGCATCGAAGCAAAATTATCATGTGAAACAGTTACCGTATTTCCCTAAGTATAAGTCGTATTTATTTTACCAGAAAAATGGGGTTTACAAAAAATGTTAGTCTAGTATAGTGGTGTTAGATTGAAAAATCATAATATTCTTTTATTATTTATTTTTATTTTTAATAATTCATCCATGTTGTCTCGAAATTGTTTGTCCCTAAACAATAAGACATCATATACTCGGGATCATCTTATTTCTTAGGAAATACGGTAATATTTTTAGAAGTTAAGCATAGTGGCATAATGCTGACCACATTACACATCGAGTGGCGAAGTCAAAAAGGCCACATTTCCGGCTCCGTCCATTTTTGTTCTCACGACTTGTCAGATTATTAAACAGGCCCTGTGGCGTCCTGTCACAGTATTATACAACAGTGACAGATGGACGCGATAGCAGGATTACATGTCAGCTGCAAAACAAATATCAAGGGAGAATTACACATATTTTGGCAGACAAGATCATATTGAAGAACTGAGAAGGTAAACGAAGTGCTGGCAAACATTATCAAAGCAACAAGAACAAAATGAAAAAAAAATGGCCTGGACATGTTTTCAGAAAGCAACTAACACTTTTGGCAAGGATAACATTCTAGTTCTTTGTCACAGCCAGGACTTCCATTGTCATACTGCTGGTGGTAGAAGTAAAGGCTTCGCTGTCTTCTTTGATGACTTTCCCTTTAGTTCTTGCCATGAAAGCTCATGCACTTCGCTCCGGGCGAATCACTGAACCATCTTCTTTAATACCTTTCCACTGTGCTTTTTTTTTTTTTTTCCTTATTGACATTTTCCCTGTCTTTTCAGTGTTGACTCATATCATTTGTTTAGAATTCTTCATTCATAAAGGTGAGAGAGTGCAATTTCATGTTTTTATCAGCTTTCAAGTCCTGATAATCAGCAAAGAGTAATTCATTGATGTTACCAATAAATACAAACTAAACTGCCAAGTAAATTAAAATTAATACATTGCATTTCAGGTCGTTTTTGTGGTGATCAGATACCAGCTACCTTGATATCAACAGGAAGTTGGATGTGGGTAAACTACACAACACGAAAAGGTGGTTTTAACGCCTTTGTTGCTTCATACGAAGGTGGGAGTATTTTCAATGTCAGTAGTGAAGAATATAATATTGTTATCCATGTATTGTATTGCACACTTAACTATATCTTACCAGACTGTTTTTTATTGTTTGCGTCTCTCCGTCTTTTCCAGTGGTCTCTGACCTCGGAGGGGTTGGCCCGCCTTCTTAGAGGACCCGAAGAAGTTGGGGGTGGGGAGGGGGGAGGGTCAAGCAGTTTTCAAATTACATCCGTCTGTACTTAAGCAATATGGATTTTGATCTTTAGCCGTCATAACAACCAAATGAAGTTGCTGTCTTGATGTGGAGAGTGTTCTCGGCTTTTCCTTGCTCAACATCAGACAAACAACAGAGGTATCATGAAGACAAAACATAGTAAACCATTCTTTTGATATCTGGTTACTGAATTACCAGTTGCAGTGATAAATTCTTTCGTTTTTTGACACCTAAATTTATGTCCACGTTTTAACTCCAAGCTTTTAACAGTGCTTGGGATTAAGCTTTTAACAGTGCTTGGGATTAAGCTTTTAACAGTGCTTGGGATTATGCTTTTAACAGTGCTTGGGATTAAGCTTTTAACAGTGCTTGGGATTAAGCTTTTAACAGTGCTTGGGATTAAGCTTTTAACAGTGCTTGGGATTATGCTTTTCGTTTGTTATGTTGTTTTGGGAAGGTGTTTTCTCATATAACTTGAAAGTTCGTTATCTATCTATGGCTATACTTGAATATTCTGCTGTTGGAAAAGATGGGATTCACAGCCTTGCCAATGGCGAGTGTGAATAGAAAGACCCGCTAGCCTATAGAAAAATGTCTCAGAATTAGAGCATGGAATTTTAGAACAATTGTTGCCATTGCAGGTATTTAATGCGCTCCTTCTCAGACTTCAAGTTTCTCTTAAAACACTTGTGGGATTCTCCTTTAATTTCGACCCGTACATCTATACTATACAACTGAACATCTCTGTGTGTGTGTGTGAGTGTGTGTGTGTGTGTGTGTGCGCGTGTGTGTGCGTGTGTGCGTGCGTGTGTGATTACCCGCATATTTTCATTACATCCTATGAAAAATTAGTTTAAAAATAAATTTTTCCGCTTTCGCCTCCCTTTATCCAACAATGAGGTTCCACACCATTGTGGGGATGGAGTTGGGTAATGGATTTATTATCAAGCATCAATATCAAGCATCTTCCAAGAGTCGACTAAGTAGATGTTTCTTTTGAAGTCGGGTGTATGTCCCTGATGGGCAAGGAATCAACATTATGCATACAAATACCATAGAACTCAATAGCTAAATTTAGATTTTAGGAAAACAATTAACTATATCATCCTAGCTGTATATTTGTGAAGGAAAAACTGTAATTATCAACGCCACATGCCACCAACTTATTAATAAAAGTATAAATATAACTATGACATTTATCTTACGCTATCGTATACAAAAAGTAAAGTCGGGAGTTGTAAACCATCGTCATTGCATACGGTTATAAAACATAAGTGCTCTGCTACCAGTACGGACAGCTGATAAGAATTGTCCGCCTGTGTCGCCGTTCGCACGTAACTCTGTAGCTACAGCTACGTTCCTCCATTTACCCCAGAGTGTCAACACTAGAACCCATTTTCTAGAGGTTGGGTGAACCCCGGAAACCGTCCGGTTTCAAACACCGACCCTGGCCGCAGCGAGTCGCAGCTGGATTTGAAAGCGAGCCTCTTATCAACTGCGCTAACGCGATCGTGTATCGGGTTCGAATCCTAAGGATGTAGCCAACTATTATCTGTTAAACTATTTCAACTACATTGGGCTAACACAAAATCCACGGTAAGGCGTCCATTATTTGTCACAGACCTACTCTATTATCTTTTTACTCTAGCTCGTTGAGTACCAACGTAGTGGTGTGATTTGTAGATTCAGAAAATGGCGTGATGCCAGTTGTCGCAATATTGGTGGGGCCATTGCTTGATTAAAATTGATAGCTTGTGCAACTGCTGATCTTTTGGTGACTTCTGCTACCATCAATGATGAACTGCATTTTAAATGTCGGACTGTTTGTGTTAGCACTTCGGATGGCTACCGTTTGCTTTAAATGCTTGTGTATGCTAGATTTGCTGAGACAGCAGTTTGTCAATCTTTCCACAAGGGACTGTGATAAACATTATGTGTGTTTTTCGTTGGCACAGGAGCAGGGCAACTATAGGGTGACTCGTTTTCTATGAAGCTGAAACTAGGATTACCAGATTACCAGCTCGTTGAGTAGGCCAGCTAACAGACCTAATTACCCTAGAACACACTTGGATGGGTGGATTCATGCAAGCATAGATGTGTGGATGAATAAATAATAATTTTGGGTTGATTTATGCAAGCATAAATGTGTAGATGAATAAATGATAATTTTGAAGGCATTTTTAAAGATTGTAGGCGATCTCTAATTATATACTCTTCACACTCCACAGCTAGTTGTGGAGGTGAATTCTTTGGTTCTGGAACGATCGCCAGCCCTGACTATCCTGCTGAATATCTTCCTGGGAAGAAATGTTCTTGGAAGATTACAGTAAAAAAAGAGTTCATTGTGGTCCTCGAATTTGAATCCTTTCAGGTTGGACTTCAATTTTACCTTAGTAATGTTTCCATAAATTTTGAAATCTGGGCAAATGTCAATAGAGCTCTACTACCGTTAAAAGTGCGAAGGGGGCAGTGTTAGTCACATTTCGACATTTTCTGAGATTTTCTGAGACATGACGCAGTGTTTGTCATTTTTCTATAGCTTCTGAATCATGATGTAGTGCTTGCATGATGTCGACATCTTCTAAGGTGTGTTCCAGGGTATTGAGCAGGCGGATAGACTGGCCAGTTCTGCACCACTTGGTGGTGAACTGATATATGACAAGCTGAATTTTATGAGGGCCCGTTAGGAGCGAGTGAACAGCGCCGAGGAACAGATAGATCATTACGATCTCTGGAGAATGGCATTGAGAGGAGTTACAGGGGGATCTGGCTGATGCTTGAAACTCGGGGGAGGGGCGAGACGGATATACAATCAGACTGTTACTGGTATTTTCAGAATTTTCACTCTTTGCTTGCTGCTAAATATTGGGACGGAGCGCTTATGGGAGTGTCATGAGTTCTGTGATGTCGATTCCTAATTCAGCATTCAACATTCTTCAAGGTGTTTTGAAGGGTTTGTCCCACTTCTGTGGCATCATGCAGTGCTTGTCCCAGTCTAATATCATATGATGTATGACCCAGTGTTTGCCACATTTCTATATTTTGTGAAGCATGAACCAATGTTGGTCAACTGTCTTATTTCGTGTGGGTTTTTACGCAATATTTGTCAGTTTCTATATCTTGTTAGCTATGATGCAATGTTAGTCACATTTCTATATTAAATGAGGTAGGAGGTTTTAACAACGGATCAACATCATGGCACACGGATGTAACCCATATGTGCTCCGTTCTTTTTCTAACTGAAATCATAGTCTGAAGAGGCTCAGCACAGTTCACAGGCTATGTAGCACCGGTAAGGATCCTAAAATACTTTGGGTAGGTTTTTAAATTCAAATTTTGCCCGGGAAGCACCGTTTGTCTACTTTTTTTCGATTTCCAATTGCTATTTGATTTTTTACGTACGCAACAATGCATACGGGCGTCCGATCTCACTACCCAGAGACCAGTAGGAATTCTAGTAGTCCAACAAGTCCACGTGAAAAAATCCAAGCTCTTACCATTGATGAACCCCGAACCTCTAGCACTCGAGGCGGACACCATGCTTTGAGACCACGCTGGTATGAAGAAAGATCTGTCACATGTCAATATCCTATGAGGCCTGATACTGTGCTAGTCATCACCATCGTGTCTTGCAAGCTGGCGTAGGCGTGCACACATCTCTAAAAATCTCGGTCTCAAGAACCACATCTCAGTTGCCTCCAAAATTTTCGTATTTTTTAATCACATTCGAAGATTCTTTGCCATAGATTAGAACAGGCTCGATAAGTTATTTAGTACATAAGATATTTCCATTTTCTGAAATGCTGCCTTTGCCTGGCTAATTGTGCTCTTAATTTCTGTCACACATCAACCATCTGATGTTATGAATGTCGCCAAATACTAGTATTTATTGACTTGGTTAAGCATTTACCCTTCTATTGCTTTGTCATATTTTGAAGTTATCTTCTTCTCCTTTGATATAACAATTGTTTCTGTTAACTTGACATCCAAGGAAAGTCCTTTTTTGTGTACATGCGTGCTAGCTGAAAAAAAGAAAATAAAAAAAAATATTTAAAAAACAGAAGATAGGGGAGATAAAGAAAATTGTGATTAGGACAAAAAGTAATTGTGCTCCGCTACACAGCAAAACAGGAAAGTAAAAAAAAAAAAGTCAAGGGGTTCTTCTGCGCAGGAATCCTGGAATATTCCGAGACACGATCAGAGTAGAATAGGCCCCCCATCTAATACGCTTTTCGGTAGAAAAATTCATTTAAACACATACTAATCATCACTGAAAGAGATCAAAAGCTGTTGATTGTAAAGATTACAGAACTGTTAGCCTAATGAGTCACGTAACTAAGTTACTCTTTAAGATAATACAAGCAAGAATTCAAGATAAAATGGAGAAAGAAGTTTCTGAAGAGCAATTTGGATTCTGTAAAAACAGTGGTACTCGAGAGGCCATAATGTGTCTAAAGATGCTGACTGAAAAATATATAGAAGTTCAGAAAAATATTTATGCATGTTTTATAGATTACAAAAAAGCTTTCGACAGAGTGCAACATGAAAAACTAATTGCAGCTCTTCAAAACATAGGACTAGATTGAAAGGATATCAGACTTATTAGAAACTTATACTGGGAGCAAGAAGCAACAGTAAGATATGACAACATCTGCTCACCCCAGATAGAGATCAAGAGAGGAGTAAGACAAGGATGTATGCTGTCCCTAGCCTTTTCAACTTATGTACAGAAACTATTTTAAAAGAAATAGTAGAATTACCAGGACTGAACATCAATGGTAGAATAATAAACAATCTGAGATATGCTGACGACACAGTGTTGCTAGCAGAGAGTGAGCAGGAGTTGCAAGACCTAGTGGAGCAAGTAAACAGAAGGAGTGTAGAATTTGGATTAGATATAAATTTGAAAAAGACAAAAACCATGATATTTAGCAAAGAAAATAATCAGCTAACAGTGAATATCACAGTGAACAGGGTGAAATTGAAACAAGTTAAAAATTTCATATATCTTGGACAAGTAATAACATGTGACGGCAGAAGTGAAACAGAAGTCAAGAAAAGAATAGGGATGGCCAAAAACATTTTCAACAACATGCAAAAGTTACTGATATCAAGAGAAAAAAGCAATATATTAAAAATGGGAATTGTCAAATGTTATGTATTCTCAACCCTACTGTATGGCACAGAGACATGGACAAAGAACAAACAACTGGAAAATCGTATCAATTCCCTGGAGATGTGAATATACAGAAGATTAGGTTGTATTTCATGGAAACAAAAGCTATCAAATACAGAGGTACTGAGGAGATTGGGAATGAAAATAGAGTTGCTAGGTGAAATAAAAAAGAGACAAGTGAAATATTTTGGCCACATTAAAAGACATAACAGTATTGTAAAGATCATCCTAGAGGGAAAGGTTTAAGGTAGACGAGCAAAAGGCAGACAGCGTTACATGTGGGAGGATAACATCAAAGGATGGACGAACAGCAGTATGAGCGAGTGTACATCAAGGGCAAGAGACAGGGCTTGTTGGAGATCCATTACAGCCAACCTTCATTGTGGAGACGGCACCTGATTGATTGATTGATTGATTGAATCATCACTGACATACAAAAAACAAAACTGCACACACACACACAAACATCAAAATATTGTAATCAACTAACATCAAATACATCGTGATCAGCAAACATACGGATTCTTGACCAATTGGGAGGTCCTCTTTGACGTCAAATGATTCTTCGCAGATGGGTTCTTTCAGCTATTTGCACGACTGACTCTATTTATAGGCCAACAAGTCAACGGGGATTCACGTTCTAGTGCAGGTCGGAGGTCAGCTCTGTTTTCACAGTTTTTATCGAGGAGATGTATACACACACACAAAAACTATAGTTTCATTATTTTTATCGAATTATATGTCATTTTAATGGTAAATAAGTGTACTATCAAAATTTAACAAAAAAGGCTCTTACGGACAAGCAAAAATGCTTGTGCTACAGTCAACATGAACATAAACATCAATAATTATTATAAATAAACTGGAAGTTATTCCAGAAAAAGTAAAGAAACATTAGTGCTAACTCTTTGATTCTGAAGGGGTATTGCCTTAGACAACTCAGGGGAGGAGGGAGAGAGGGGTGACATTTGTACTTTATCAAATTTAGCACATGAATATACTGCTGTGAAACATACACATGTCATACATAACATGAATATAACTGATTGATGGTTATTATTACTGTCAGTAGACTACTACAACATATAATTTTACTTTTAGTTAATAATTAGTAAACAACCAGCTGACTTGTCCAAAAAAGATAAGTAAATAATAATTACATCTTTACATGATACACAGCATTAAGAATAAACTCCACAGGGGAACATGTACAGCAGGATTTTACCAATCATTAGTAGAAGTAACCTCTCGTCGACAAAAGTTTCGGCCCACGAGCTCATGGACATTTTCAGAGAGTGGGCCCACCTGAGTTTATGAGGCTCATGGTTGGTTTCTCCTGCTGCACGTATTACCGGATGTTTTTCGGACAGGGACAAGACGAATTGGTGACTTTGCGAAATATACTGTGAGATAAAAAGTCGTTGTGGTAGCATAATTAAAGCAGTCTGCATACCTGTCGACCGATTGGCAAGCTTACGTTGGGTTTACCGGACACATGTTTGACTTTGCTGGCAGGTGGCAGAGGGACACTGGCAGACAATTCAAACACGATAAGGGATAAGACATTCTTTTCCACTAGACACCCCCACCAGCTCACCGAGGCCCGTCCCCCACGATGTTCCGTTGTGTCCATAGCCAGCTCGAGGCCCTCTCAGGAACCTCGACCAGTTGTTTAAGTGTCTGTTTGCGTTCATTACCCCGTAAGACTAGTTGTTTAATCACATTGAAGAGTGAAGTGGAAACGAGACCTCTTGCTCCACTTCGACGGCCTAGATTCTTACTGTTTACGCTTCGTCTCTCCTCAGACCGGCTGCTAAGTCACTGTGTTTCTCGAGCTTATACATATGTCTTTCGTCCATTCGCGACTCATACGACACGGTCAGCTCAATCAGGATGAGCTGACATTTCTCCGCAGAGTGGAGAACTATGTCAGGTCGCAGGCTGGTCTTCTGGATTAACTCAGGGTACTTTTCATGACCAGGCAGGTCAACCGCCAGTAACCAGTCCCTCGCACAGTCTAGCATAGGTGGAGCGTATGCGACTTTGTTGAATTTACCTTTGTGAAACCGTCTAGCCTTAAGGAAGCGTATGAGGACGACGGTAGGACTGGCCCTCGCATTGGCCCTCATCCAAGCTTGGTCCACAACGGCTGCTAACTCTTTTAGCACCTCGTTGTGGCGCCAAGTATATCTGCCTTGACTTAAGGCTTTTCTGCACGCGGT